TTAAAGTATAATCCCGAACAATCGGAATTTTTCAAAGAATTCTCTTCTCAATACGGATACAACGGCAAAATTGATTCTATACGTGAGAACGAATATCCACAACTAAAAGGTACTTATAATCATTCTCTTACAATTACTTTTTGATTTTATTGATTTTTTTTTTTTTTGTTGCAAGGATCCGTTTATCTTGATCATTCTGGTGCGACTGCATATGCAAAAAGTGTCTTAGATTCCTTCACTAATGATCTTACAAATAACCTTTTCGGCAATCCTCATTCGTACAACCCTAGCTCCCAGCTTACTTCTCAACGAGTTGAACTAATTCGGGCTCGTATTCTGAGACACTTTAATGCAAATCCTGGCGAATATCAAGTTATATTCACTCAAAACGCTAGTTCTGCAATTAAATTGGTTGGCGAAGCTTTCCCTTGGACTTTTGGTCAAAGTTCATTCAGATATTTGAGAGAAGCTCACAACAGCGTAATAGGTTTAAGACGTTTTGCCGAAGAAAATAATTCTCCAGATATTCAAGCTATAACTGAAGATGATCTAGAAACAACATTTAAGAATATTCAAGAAGGTTCAATTAACGATAATTTACATCCTGAAATCAATCACGAAATAAATCATGACACTGTGTATAATCTTTTCGCGTATCCTGTACAATGCAATTTCTCTGGTCAAAGATTCCCACTCATTTGGACAAAAATAATTAAAAAATCAGATTCTGATAAATCAAAGGTATTAGTCTTGCTTGACGCTGCTGCTTACGTAGCAACTTCGCCATTATCATTGGCAGATAAGGATATATCTCCAGACTTCGTTGCTATCAGCTTTTATAAAATTTTTGGGTTTCCCACAGGTTTGGGTGCTTTATTAGTAAAAACTGAATTGACTCCTGTATTAAAAAAGCGATACTTTGGCGGAGGCACAGGTACGCTATATATATATGTTAAAAGTTTTTAAATTTTCTATATTAATTATATCTATTTTTAATATATAGTTCGCGCAGTTGCTTACGATCGACCATGGCAAGAATTTCGAGAGAATTTGAGCGATCGTTATGAAGATGGAACTATTAACTTTTTGGAGGTTATTTCTCTAGAACACGCGTTCAATTCGATGGAACGAATATATACGGGCTTTCATTTTATTAAGAATCATGTGACCGCTCTTAGTGCCTATCTCTACAGACAAATGAATTCACTTCGTCATTGGAATGGTTCTCCTGTGTGTGTTATCCATGCTAATAATGACTTCTCAGATAGTTCTATTCAGGGTCCCGTCTTCAATTTTAATGTAAAGCGTGCTGATGGTTCTTGGATTGGGTACCTTGAAGTAGAAAAGTTGGCTAGCGTGAGCGGGATTCATATTAGAACTGGTGGTTTTTGTAATCCTGGTTGTTTATCAAGATGGGTAAACGTTAAATCAGATCAAGTTATTGCCAATTTTAAGGTAATTTCATATATAAATCTTGTACAGTTAACTCTACACAAATTTCCGACATGACGAATTTTCAAATTTGTAATAACTAATATTTTTTAATTATTAATTCGTTATAAAGAGTCGTTCATTAGCACTTTTACATAATTGTTTTTTTTTTGCATTATACACGAAAATTCGTTATATCAAGAGTTGACTGTACGTATAATATTTGTGGTTTATTGTATTTATATTTTATTTATATAAACATGGTCTTTTTTATGCAAAGACTGGAAAAGTATGTGGTGATGATCATGATATTTATAACGGAAAGCCCACGGGTTCAATACGTATCTCTATAGGTGCCATGTCAACTATTGATGACATTCTTATATGGTTGGATTTCTTCAATACATATTTTGTGGAATCAATCCCTCCATATAATGTGTCACAAAACATGGTTTTTGACACCAATATAACTTATTCAAATCAATCAAATTTGGTTTTGGAAAAAGTAACATTGTGTATGTTTTTCCTTTGAAATAATTTTTTATTTTTATAAAGCAACTAGCAAAATTTAATTTTTGCCTTTGCTATTGGACATCATAGTTCCAATTAAATCATGTCACGGATTTACCATACCACTTTCATCGACCTGGCCAGTAACTAGTCAAGGACTATTATATGACCGTGAATGGATGTTGGTAAATTTAAGAACTGGAAAGGCATTAAGTCAAAAAATGTAAGAAGCTATTCATGTCATTAGCAATTTTTGTTTAATGAAATTGTAAATAATTTTTACGCGATAAAATAACAGATACCCAAAGATGACTTTAATTCATCCAGCTGTTTTTCAAGACAAAGAATTGCTTGTTATTTCGGCACCTGGTAGGGTCATATAAATCAACTTTTTTATTACATTGCCTATGTTGTATAAAACTGTGTAATAATATTATTATTGTAACTTTATATAAAACAATAGGACAAGATCCTCTTCAAATAAAGTTGAGTGAATATCCTAATGGCATTGACTTTTCAACTTGCCCGTCACAAGTTTGTGGTGACAAGTATTTACTTATTTACTTTTCTAATGTATTTATTTGATGTTTTAAAGGATTATATATTAAATAAGCTTTAAATAATTAAAGTGCTCATTTTGCTAAAGTCGAATATGGTTCTTTAATTTTCTCGCCTGTTTCATGATTTATACAGACCA